GTACTTGAGGTACTGTAAAAAAAGTCGAACGCACTAGCGCATGGCACAAGCAAGGCAAACAAAGAAGAATAAATAAAATGAACAACTTCCACAGTTTTAAGAAAAAAAATAAAAAAAAGGGCAAAATCACAGAAGCAAAAGCAAAAAAGAAATGCAGCACATAAAAATAACAATTCAGTTTAGTGATTTACGCATCATTGTTTTAGTTTTTTTTTATTGCGTTTGTCCCCTTTTTTATCATTCATTGTTTGTGGAAATTGTTTGGTGACAGTTGTTTAGAAAAAAAAACCCCTTTGTGCTAATTTAATTTTATCTTAAGTGCTTTTTAAAGGTTCACCAAGTGATATGGGTGCATTTGAAGGATTAAAAGCTTAATTTGTAAAATTGAAAGTAAAGAGGGAAAGATTTAATGAAAGCTGAAGTGGAAAAAAAGTTCAAAGAAGCCTAGTAAAACATTGCAAATTAAATTAAAATGTTGAGTAAATGAAAAATGCAAATGCGCTGGCAAAAAAAAAATCCAAAAACAAACTAAAAATGTATATAAAAAAAAAAAATCCCTTTACTGCTTAAGCAAACAAGGGTTGCAATCTTCTTTTAAGCGCGCATAATTTTTAGACTTTTTCCTCACTCAAATTTGCCGCAACATGCTTAAGCCAATTTAAACTCAATGAAATAAAATTAGAAACTTATGCGAAAATTGCATGTTGCAGCTGTTGCTACATTTTATTATGCTAATTTAACGCACTCACTTGGATAGCATGTATGTAAAGCACGAGCATAGTCGCGTGTAAATTATCTATGAAAGCGATAGCGAGTTCACACGTACACACACACACAAGTGAGCGCATTTACACATACTCAAACCACATTAATTTTCTACTAAATTTAATTTACTAACAGCCTTCGAATAAATTTTCCTTTAAGCATATGTACATTAGGGTGCATCACTCGTCATACAAAAAAAATTTAGAACCGTTTATTCGTAATATTTCTTAGAACTAGGAAGATTTGCGAGAGTTGGACTCATTTGAAAATACCTCAAAAATATAATTTTTAAAAATAAAATTACTTTTTACGTAATATTTTTTTTCGGAAAATCACCTCAGGAAAAATAGTTTAAAATTTTAGCAAGATAATAAAGACAATGAGATTTTTGAGGTATTTTCAAATCGGGTAGTTTGGCAGAAGTCTTAAAATATACTAAATAATTTCGGTGGAAAACCGCAAATATTTTTGTGAGGCACCTTAATGTATACCTATATGTACATGTACATATGTATGTTTAATATTAACTTTATTTTTATATACCGTCATTTTTCTGTTTGTTTCTTGGTTTTCGTTCTTTTTTCCTAGCGTCAAGTCATTCAACACAGCTGCGCCCACCAAAGTTGTCAATTTTCAAGTGATTTGGCCGCAGACAAACACGCATTCTGACAAACATAAACGCTTGTCAACATGCGTGCGTACAAGTATCCAGCGCCAGTTCAATACATACATAGCACTCATCCCAACAGTCGCCCTAACATTACGTATACGCCACGTACAACCGATTGTATTAGAGTGTAGCTATGTACATACATATGTAGCTATTGGTAGGACCAGTGCATTGCCGTGTTCGACTGTGATTGAATTCACACCACAGCGCATAATTTTAAAGTCATAAAATATATTTGGCGCCATAAACTTATAAGGGTCCACGCGCAAACTTACATCCACAAAAAAAAACGTAAATGCGTAGATTCGTATAAACACAGAAATGTATTCTCACATAGATGCGTGTGTATGTATAACTATACTATATACATATAGTGTATGTATGCACATAATAAATATCAATGAAGATGGGTGAATAAGAGAATTACGGATTTACCCAATATGATTGATTGCAGATAAATAATGAAATGTATCAACAAAAAATTTTGCTTAAAATTGATACTTCTCAAGGTCGCTTGTAATACGCACTGATGTGTGTACATATACATATGGGGCGTTCCATACGAAAATGGACGGGGTTCGCACTTCATATGTTTGATTTGTTTCAAATTTTTAGGGTTTATGGACAAACATAAATAATAATAATAAATAAATATGAAATTTGAGCTTGATTAATACCTTTTTAAAAACTTTACAGCACAAAAACAAAGAAAAATCACACATACACACATCAAAATTCTCTATGAAAAGAAATATTAAAAAAATAATAATTTTCTTGAAAACATATTTTTTGTTAAAAATAAGTAGTTTTTGAAAATATGCCATCTCAAACAAAATTGAAAAAAATTACAATGGTAGCTCTGAGGATTGCGCAATATTTAAATATAGTACTACGGGGTGCACTCTACAGTAATTTGAGTCATGCATTTTTTTTCACACCGAAGTTGAGTAAAATTATTACAAATTTACAAATTTTTTTATTTTTTTTAGAATTGCAGTATACAGTATGGTAGCCCGTTAAATTGTAGTATAATGAAGTGCAAGTTTCAAGCGATTGCAAAACTGGCGTTATTTTTAGTTTTCTTTGAAAACGGTTTTGCGCAATTTCTTCCATAAGAAAAAAGTACAAAAAGCCGTCAGCAAAAAAAAAATTAAAAATCAATGCAATTTTGCAGTACCTTAAAACTTCCACTTTATTATACTTAAATTTAATGGGCTACCGCATACTCAAAAAAATTCTCAAAAAAATGTAAAAATTTTTAATATCGTAATGTTCTCATTTTACACAACATCGGTGTAAAAAAATTCACAACTGAAATTATTGTATGGCATATTTTCAAAAACTAATTTTTATCAAAAAATTTGTTTGTGAAAAATTTTCCAAGAAAACAAAATTTAGTATTTCTTTTCACAGAGAATTTTTATGTGTGTATGTGTGATTTTTCTAAAATTTTTTCCTCGCCCCGTTCTTGAGATATTTGGAAAACTATTAAATCGATTTGTTTTTGTTTTTGTGCTGTAAAGTTTTTAAAAATGTATTAATCAATCTAAAATTTCATATTTATTTATTATTTATGTTTATGCATCATCTTTAAAATTTGAAACAAATCAGACGCATGAAGTGTGAACCCCGTACATTTTGGTATGGAACGCCCCATATACATATACAGTATTGGACATATCTATAGCACCCCCCCTTCAAAGCGATATTGTTTGCCACTTATGTTTAATTATTTGTTTTTAAGAATTTTCAATTAAAATACAGTTCATTCTCTAACAAAACCCATATAAACCAATGTTTTAAACTTTTTAAAAAACCGCAAAAATGTGCAACAAACTTTCCCTTAAATTTAAAACTTTTTTCTCAGAAGGTCTAGAATTTTTTTGAGTACACAGTTTTATAGCGCATTCAATTTTGTCCAATAATGTGGAAGTTTCAAGTCGCTAAAGCTTACCGTTGATTTTTTAGAATTTTGTTTGTCTCATTTGCTTCCATATAACGACTAAACCCAATAATTTTTATATGGCAGAAACCCGCAACATCCTCGGCGAAAAAAATTCTAAAAATCAACGGTAATTTTTAGCCACTTGAAACTTGCACATTATGAGACTAAAATTGAATGGGCTATAAAACTGTGTATTCAAAAAAATTCTACCGCTTCTGAGAAAAAAGTTTGAAATATGGGTGAAAATTTGTTGCACTTTTTTGCGGTCTTTTAAAAAGTTTTAAACTTGAGTTTATGTGAGTTTTGTGAGAGAATGAACTGTATTTTAAATGAAAATTCTTAAAAATAAATTAATAAACATGAGTGGCAAACAATATCACTTTAAAATGGGGGTGCTATTGTATTGGCCAATACTGTATAGTATATGTAGTTGTTACGTTTCATCCACGAAAGAGGCGCCAACTGTAAATCTGAGCGGATTTCAAGGAGGTAATGCCAGCACTTTTGAGGAATGAAAGGATGTACATAGCAGTTTGTACTCGCAAGATTTCCTTCTATTTGGCGAAAGCAGTAAAAAATTGGAGCGGTTCTTATTGAAAGAATTGAGATTGGCAAATTATAAAAATGGAAAGCAATTTCCATGAATTACTTATATACTGCGTTCCAGCGTATGAATGAAATTTATATTTATGATTTTAAGTGAATAGTTGCTTACTAATTTCGTGCATACGCTGAACAACCAAAGAAAGAACTACCATTGATGTAGTTTTTGTAAGAAATATTAAACCGAAATTAAACATTTCATACCTTGCTTCAGTTATCGATATTAGTTCGATATAGAGAAGTGATGGAGATAAGATTGAGACAAATAAAATGATAAAACTGAGAAATGAGATTTTAAGTTATGTTATGTTATGCTCTGTTAAGGTATGTTATGTTAGGTTATGTTATGTTTTATTATGCTATATGCTTTTTTGTTGAAAGCATTTGACCTCAGCTCTCCTCAGCTCACTCCAAATCACCTAAACCTTATCGCACCTCAACTATTCTTACATCAACCCCTCTTAGTTCACATCAACTCACCTTTTGCCAACTCACCTCATTTCATATCAACTTACTCAACCTTCACCTCAATTCAACTCACCACAACTAATGTTGTTTCACCTCAACTCACCTTATCTCAGCTCAACTTATTTCACCTCAGCTCAACTTATTTCACCTCTGCTCAGCTCACCCTATCTCACCTTAACTTATCTAAACTCACCTCACCTGAATTTTTTTTTTTGATGTGGCATTTTAGGCGACAAACTGCCAAATAGCTGTAAAAGAAAACACAAAAACAAAATATTTGCAATTCTGGCTTAAGTTGACGTATTGAGTAATTATTGATGATTTCTTACGGTAAGTTATTATTAAGTTAAGACTAGACTAACTGAGCTTTAAGTTTCACTTCTTCCGCACGTCGGCACTGTATGCACTAAGTTAAGTTTAAACTTTCAATATCAACAGTTTTT